GAACAGGACCACGTCCGCTGTACTGGCCGATGAAGGAACCGTCTTCGTTGAACTGAATGTCCACACTGTCTCCATACTCAGCCAGAGAGTCGTCACTGCCAAGTTTACTGTCGTCGCATAGGGACTGCTGGCTGTCGGAGCGCTTCTCGTCACCATCACTAGAACACCACATGAGGACAAACATTAGTGCCTGTTTAGAATTCTCATGTGAAAAACAACAAACAATAATAGAATGTAAACTTTTGACTGAAACACCTATTCACAGAGATTAAAGGGACATTTTAACATGTTTATCTGTGTGAGGACGTGATTTAGTGAGGAGGGTGGGGTGATACCTGAGAAAAATTACTAACGCACCCACAACAGCATAGTATTATTTTTAAATCTTTTTATGCTTCCTCGGTTCGTTAAAAAATAAAAATAAAACAAACTGTTGGCTATCTAATTCAGAAAAAAATCTCTAAATTTAAGACTTTATAAAGCCGTGATAAGACTTTTTAATACTTTTTAAGGGTCTTAATTTTTCCAAAATTGATTTTTCACCTTTTAATACTTTTCAAGACTCCGCGGATACCCTGGGACTGAGCAGTAGCAACAGGCCATGGATGACCTGAAGGCCGCGTTATGCTCAGCTCCTTGCTTGGCGCTCCCCGATTGTGACAAGGAGTTCCACCTTGAGGTTGGTTTCTCATCTCACTGTTTGAGTGCCGGTCTCTACCAAGTATATTACTGTGACAGGCGTGTTATAGCCTATGCAAGGAAGCTCTTGTCTGGTCCTGAGTTAAAGTACTCTGGCTGTGAAAAAGCTTTGCTTTCCACCATTGTATGTTGATGAGGCACTGTTTCATTGTTTTATATAAATACAGTATGTTATACAAATTTACAAAATGTAAATACAAAGGATATTTCCCTCATTCCAGTGTCATGTATTTTTTTTCCATTGAAGTCATAGTCTTCAGTAGGGACACCAGGTCCATAGAAAGCATAAATATGTTAACAAATATTTAATTAAGCATAAATAGTCTTCACTTTAGAAAGAGTCTCAAAATAGGCTTAATTAGCTATTAGCTATCCACTTAATTAATAATGCATAAATGGATTAATAAGAACTTTGTTCATGGTTTCTTAAGTATGAATAAGCCATAAATAAACAGCTTTTACATGAAACTAGTCATTAGAAGTTAAGCATTAATTAATGTGTTTGTCAGTTGCTTAAAAGTACTTTGTAAATGGTTTGTTACACATGAATAAGAAATGAGAAAACAGCTTTTACAAGGGACTAATCATTAAAAACAAAGCATTAATTAATGCATTGGTTAATTGTTCATTAAGTAAGAGTCATTGTTAATTAATTGTTTATTAGTAGTTACTTACATGTTTGTTCATGTGTAATTAAGGCTAAATAAGATGTCGTTTTTATAAAGTGTTACCGAAAATATTTAACCGACAATTTACCAGAACAAATCTTCATGCTGCTGGAGTAACTCGTTAGTCGTTAGACCCCTGCACAGGCCTAAAATCTGAGCCCGTGTCCGGCCCAGCCCGAGCCCAATCCCGACTTTTTTTTTTAAACCAACTAAATGAAAACAAAGTGTGTCAATCCTGACCAATGTGTTAAAAGACGTGCAGGATCCGATCAATTTGTTTTTCCCTCGTTTACCGTCACGGAGATAACGGCGCACTGGCTCTGGTGTTAATCAAGTTAAATTTGATCTCTTTCCAACAATTTTCACAAGAAAACAAAACCGTCAAAAGCAGGACTTGTGTTGTGTTGACCGGACAGTTCCCGTATTTGACGGTTTATTTTGACGGAGAAAGAATAGAAAGAATTACCCCGACGCATGCAGACGAACTGACATTTTATTCGTTACACACATCGCAGATGTAGCTAAATCACCCAAGAAAAGATTCCCATCTGAACATCTGAGCTGCTCAGCGCAGCTCACTGTCAGCGCATATGTGCACAGCCAGCTGAAGATGTGGAGAGGGGCTTGGAGCGCATCGCAGAACCAGAGCGAATGCGGGAAGATTCCTCCGAGTGTTTTCCAAACCCTGTCTCTCAGAGAGACTTGTCACTTAGAAAATGTTCCCTGATTATGAAACTTTGGCTGAATAGTGCTTGTTCCTGTCTCCAATGTGGTGACATTTCCAGGAGGAGAATCCCAGAATCTCTTCAGCTCAGAAAGCGCCTATGATTACGCACAAGCGTGACGCGTCAACCCGGTCTCACAGTAAGACTGGGTTGGACCTGTTCAGGTTTACACAGACAATCATTACATAGAATTGACTTACAGATGTAAAATTAATGCAGTAAAATATAAAGCATTTTATTTAAATATCCATTCATTATTTTACAAGCACGGAGAGCTGCATCAGATGGATGGAAGAGCCGCAGGTTGTGACATGTTTTCTCCAGGACCAGAGAGGACGCAAACTCAATACATCTCTTTTATTGCAAGGTAATAATTTCTCCGAGTTTTGCGGTTGCGGGTGGGAGTAGACATGCACGCTGCAGGTGCGGGCGGGAGTGTAACACACACGTTGCAGTTGCAGGCGGCAATTGTCATAAATTCAGCGGGAGCGGGCAGCAGCGGGATGAAGAAAACAGTCCTGCGCAGGGCTCTACTGCTGCATTTGTGTTTCAATTTTTTTAATGAATTCGATTAAAAATAAAGGCGCCTGGCCCGGCCCGTGTCCGACGTAATTACACAGTCGTTGGCCCGAAGCCCGGCCCGAGGACTGTCGGGCCGGGCCGACCCGAGGGCCTAGGGCTTCAGTGCAGGGCTCTCTTAGTCGTTCGTTGTTTGCACTAATCCAGGATGTCATGGAGGTTCTAATGTTGAAATATAGAGATAATCTTTTAGATTACATCTGTGTGTGTGTGTGTGTGTGTGTGTGTGTGTGTGTGTGTGTGTTAGCTTTCCCAAAGGACTTGTTCTTTCCTTACCGGAGCTAACACGGTTAGCAGTTTTGCTGCAGTCATGCTAACGGGACTCGTCTGGAGTCCAGAAGTAGTGGTGCGGTTCTAGATGGATTTATAGATGTAGGTTATTATTTTAAATCAGACCAGAGATGATTCAGTGAGCATGCGCATGCGCTGATGGCCCGATCACCGGACACACGGCGGCGTCTTGAAGCAGATGGCAGCTTGTTAATCAACTTCCACAAACAATTAAGACAGATTTTTGCCTAATTTACTCACTGACAATGCAAAAAAATTAATAAATCTGGTAAATATAACTCACTCAACCTGGAGGTAAGTGGAGAAAATCTGGAAAATTTGCAAACATATATTGACGAGGTTTTTGAATTTTTTGTCATGGGACCGAAGAAAGCAGCAGCAGCTGAGGCGGAAACGCCAAGAGGAGCCGTCCCCAGGACTCGCCCGAGACCTCATCTCCCCATAAGGATGTCTTAGATTTACTACAGTCCATAGATAAACGGCTTCTGGGATTTGAGGGACGACTCCACCTGCTTGAGGTGCTTCACAAGGAGTTCCAGGACCTCCGAACATCTCTGGAGTTTAGCCAGGAGCAGGTGGAGCGTCTCGCGGCTGAGAACGCGTCTCTGCGGGAATCGGTTTCCTCCTTAACTGCAGGAATAGATCGGATCTCCCAGGACAACAAAGTTCTAAAGGAGACGGTTCTGGATCTCCAGTCACGCAGCATGAGAGATAACCTGGTGTTCGCAGGCCTTTCAAAGCAGACCGGAGGAGAAGCGGAGGATTGCGAAAAAACCATCAAGAACTTTCTCCACACCCACATGAAGATACCTGAGGAAACTGTTAGAAACATCAACTTTCATCGGGTACATCGCCTTTGAGCCAGGAGAACAGACAGCAGAAGAACTCGTCCCATCGTGGCAAAATTTGAGCACTTTAAGCAGAAAGATCTTGTTAAAAGCCGCGGGAGAGAGCTTAAAGGTAAAGACTACAGCGTTAACGACCAGTTTCCTAAGGAAATTCTGGATCGCCGCCGAGTTCTCTTCCCGCTGCGCAAGAAGTTCATCCAGGATGGGAAGCGGGCTGTGATCTCCGTGGATAAACTGTTTGTTGACGGTAAGATCTACAGAGAACGAGGAGTAACAGACTGACTTTATTAGACAAACTTCAGGTACAACTTTATTGTTATTAAAAGCACTCACTGGGTTTGAACATGTCAGGATTTATAGCTGCTAGATCCATTTAGAAATGTTCACCTATTCCCTCACCACCTCACACCCACAACACTTTTTCTGTTCTTTCTTCTTTTTTTCTCTTTTTAACCTTTATAATTCATTTATTTCCCTTTTTTTATCTGCTTCTGGATTTTTACATCTGCATGGCACAATTTTTTTCCCTTTCCACACTGCAGCACACAACTTGCACGCGCGCACACACACACACACAAGCACGCACACACACACACAGACTCCATACGCAGTCACACACACACACACACACACACACACACACACACACACACACAGATTCCATACGCAGTCACACACACACACACATAGACTCCATACGCAGTCACACAGATAAGTAGCCTAACGCCGGGGACACACCGGCCGTGGAAGCGCCGCGAAAATGGGACCGCCTTCATTCGGCGCCCTTGTTAAGCAATTCTATAGACCACATGGGCCGCCGAAGCACCGCGAATCGCCTCGCGCCGGCGCTCCAGCCCACGCCGTGCAGTGATCATTTCGGCGTCGGCTCTATTTTTTTTGCGAGCCGCGGGTGAATCGCGTCAATTCTGGCAGGAAGTCAAACCTAGACATAAGAGGCAGGCCGGTAAAGTTAACAAAATAAAGCATTTCAAAATAAAATTCCCCACTAGTCAAATGTGTTCGTAATCAGACACTACAGAAAAACCACACGAACACGCACACACACACACACACACATCGAACTTGTGTGCATGTGTGACCACGTGAAGGGGTGTGTGGTTTTGGGTGTCTTTTCACCGGAGCAAACAGGACAGAGAGGCAGAAAGTCTGAGGCAAACAGTTAATATGGATGACTTTAAATTAATTATGGAAGTTGAGAAACACAAGGAGCTGTACGACCCCTTAAAAACACGGTTATTTATGTACCCATTTCGGAAGAAACTGCTAGGATACAGCTGCAGAATTGGAGCGGGTTCCAAAAGAGATTCAACTGGCAGAAACAACTCAT